GGGCACTGGCTAGACCCCACCTCCACAGCCCTGTCTTCCCCACCCCCCGCAGGTTTCCTACTTTGAGATCTACCTGGACAAAATCCGGGACCTGCTGGATGGTGAGTGGGGTGGGGCGGTGGGGGCCGTGGTGCTGGGCTCAGGCTGGGCAGGAAGCTGGGGTTGGGGCTGCTCCACGGCCCCCACGGCCACAGCTCTGCTCTCCTCCCCCCTCCAGTGACCAAGACCAACTTGTCGGTGCACGAGGACAAGAACCGGGTGCCCTACGTCAAGGTGTGCAGGGTGCGGCATGGGGGGGCAGGGGGAGGCTGGGGGGGCTGGAGGTGCTGCCCCCCTGGAGCAGGAGGGCTATGGCTGTCCTGGGCCTCTGGGGCTGGGGGCTCTGGCCCCTAGGGGGTGTGGGGGGGCTGGCACCCGCAGCCCCCCCGACACTGCGCCCCGACACTGCGCCCCCCCCCCCACAGGGCTGCACCGAGCGCTTTGTGTCCAGCCCCGAGGAAATCCTAGATGTGATCGATGAGGGCAAGTCCAACCGCCACGTGGCTGTCACCAGTGAGCACAGGGACCCCCAGCTGGGGGATGGGGGTGGGGGACCCTGGCCTGAGGAGGGGGTCTGTGTGGTTTGGCAGGGTCCCTGGGGGGAGTCTGTGGCATGGGTGGGTTGGAGGGGCTGGGGGCTCTGAGCCCAGGGTGGGGGGGAGCTCTGTCCCATGTCCCACGCCCCATGTCCTGTCTCATGTCCTGTGTTGTGTATCCCATGCCCCATATCTCACACCCCATTACCTGTGGCCCATGCCCCATGTGCCATCATGTGCCCTGTGTCCCACTCCCCATGTCCTGTTGCACATCCCGTGTCCCACACCCCATGTCCTGTGGCCTAATATGCCATGTCGTGTGCCCTGTGTCCCATGGCCCACGCCTCACGCTGCGTGTCCCTGCAGACATGAACGAGCACAGCTCACGCAGCCACAGCATCTTCCTCATCAACATCAAGCAGGAGAACGTGGAGACGGAGCAGAAGCTCAGCGGGAAGCTCTACCTGGTCGACCTGGCCGGCAGCGAGAAGGTGCGGGCGGGGGGCCTGCGACAGTCCCCGGATGCCTGAGTTCCAGGCCTCCAGTTTGCCTCTTGGGGGACCCTCAGCCAGGCCTGGGGCTGTATTTGGGGGGGGGTGGCCCTAAGTAACTGCCCCCCTGTGCAGGTCAGCAAGACGGGGGCTGAGGGGGCCGTGCTGGATGAGGCCAAGAACATCAACAAGTCGCTGTCGGCGCTCGGGAACGTCATCTCAGCCCTGGCCGAGGGCACGGTGAGGCCCCACCCTGCCCCAGGACCTCCGTCTGCCCTGAGCTCCTAAATACCCCTGACCCCCCACCTCCCAGCCTCCTGAGCCCCCCAGCCCCA